GATGTCCTGAAAAATGTTCTTTGATGCTTTTCAACTGTGAATCTAAAAGGAATCTGGAGCCTCAGGATGGTGTTTATCACACCATGGATGTTACAATTTTGAGGGACATTTTATTTTGGAAGGAATCTTAACTAAGGGCAACTTGGGCTTCCTTCAGTGTGACTAGGTAGACTTAGAGCAAAAAACTCCACAGGAAGTTTACACCAGCAGCTAATACTTCACCACTGCCACCTTTTCTTTCTTGGCATTAGATGTTTCTCAAATATTTCCCAAGATAGCCACTGGCCAAAAAACCCCCATGTAAACAGAAGAAAAGAGTTTATATATTCCCTTACTGATTTTTAACTATGGTTCATCCCAAGCCTCTCAAGAGCCACAGAGCTGCAAGGTGAGGGGTATTTTTTGATGTTTTAGACCTAATTTAAGAAAAAAGGTTCTATGCTTTTGCTGTCAGTATTACCCCCTAGAAGAGAGCATTTGATCAAATTTTCTATGGATATTGGCTACATAATAATCCACCACAGGAGGTGAGAGGTGCTATGTTGAGGTCAATGTCCTGCAGAACAGACATGTTTTTTTGAGAGATAAGCTACAGACTGCCTTAATGGGCAAGTCCAGCTGCTCAGTTCTTGGCCTTTATCTCTTATGATCATTTGGCACTGGGTGTAGTCTCTTGCTATCAGCCAAGCAGCACTTTTTTTCAGTTGCTTATAATTGTTCTGTAGATTATTCCATATAAGTTGATTATGTACATATTGAGTAGGGGAAGGTAAACAAAAAAAAAAACCAACAACACATATTTTCTTGTATTTTTAGTAGTTTAGCAACATATTTTTACTGCTGCACATGAACTGTAGCAGGAATGAAACCAAAGTCAGAGTTGATGGTATACTTGTCTGATATTTGATTCTAGTTTACTCCCACAGATTTGAATAGAAATACTACTTGTGTAGTCAAAGTTATTAAAAAATGCAAAGCTGTTTAAAAAACTATATAGTAAGCTACTTTCAGGATAGCATCCTTAATTACTTAAGTTTACCATAATTGAGAGGTGATCAATTATTATACTGTTTGTTTTTACTGTATATTAAGACTCTGAATCACCTTCTACAGAACTGAGAAGATTAAAAACAAAAAACAAAAACAGTGGTGTTTTTAATTTATCTTTTTAGGTCTTTTCTACAGAGATCTCTAAGTTAATTACAACTGTTAATTTAAAGTAGACTAAGCTATATTAAATGCCTCAGTATCTATTTTTCCTCAGAATTAAAAATGACCTTAATTCAGTTTAGCCTAACTCACTTTGGAAGTGAAATATGCTAGGTTACCTGAAGGTCATTTTAATTCTAGCTGGGAAAGTTCAAACAGTTTAGCAAGTTTTCCTACATACTCTGCACCCAATAAGTGAGGAATGATGAGGAACTAGTAGTCTCACATCTAAATCTAGGCTTCACTGTATTCTGCTCAAATGTATGTCCTGTAAATTGTGTCTCTCTGTCACATATTACTGTATTGGTTAAAGAAGTCTAGCTGGAAAAGTTCTTAATGCATAATCAGCTTTTCTGCTGTAATATCTTTAGTAGTGCCATCTAAAAATAGGAAAACTGTACAAGATGGTTATCCTGGTTTTTTTGGTTTTTTTTTTAAATTTCTAGAAGCACATTTTTAAATAGAAAAAAAAATCACTTTTATAAGCCTGTATTTTTACTCCTTTGTATTTCTACAACTTGCTGTTTTTATCTCAGAGTTACAGCACAGTTCCTAGAAAGACTAGGAGCTGTGCATATATGCCTAATGAAGGTAATATGTCCCATTTGCTCTTATGTTTGTTATTTCTTCTGCACACATAACCTTTTGCTGCAAGTGTTTTTATTCTACAGAAAACAATCACCCAAGGTAGCAACATGCAGTTTCTTCATGCTTCAGACCCCTGGCACCTGGAAGACAAATACAAGGTTTTGCTTAATGTTCAGAGTCTTCCATCTGCTTTATTTGTGTTGTTATTCCTTGCTCAGGAATTCCAGCTCAGGGTGTTTTTCTGCCTCTGATATCTCTGTCTTATGGTATTTTCAGCTCTTGGTAATATCTAAGGTTCCAAAGTACAGTCCAGTCCAACACTTGAATATTCAAGTACTAGTTTCTTGGCAGATTCTAAATTGCCTCAGCTGGAGCCTGCTTCTCCCAGGAGTCTATTTCTGTATTATTTGCTCCACTTTCTGTTGAAAACCAGTGGCTCTTTAAAGTTGGAAGGGCTTTACATTTTTTTTTTTTAAATCTAAAAATCTTCAATAGATCTTACCCTATGACAAGGTAATGCCACACTTTATCATACACTTCTAGCACCCCATTCTTATATAGTAAATATAATCTCATAATCTTGTCATCCTAATATTATAAAGTAAAATACACTTCTAAACATTCAGGACCAAAGCATATAACTTTAATATGCTTCATTTTTATTTAGAATGCAATACTTCTCATTTTTTGTACCAGCTTCATGAATATCCTTCTTTTCTTAGATTGCTGAGAAGTGTTAAATATGCCAAATGCATCAGCACTTGCTATTTTCAGAAGGAAAACCTCCTTCTGATAGACTTGCTTTTAAATAACACTTACTGTTTCCAGATGTACACTGAAGCGTTCTTGCCTTCTTTTCCAGTAGTTTCTGCTGTTTCCAGAGTTTGAGCCTTTAAAAGATTTAATTTCTTCTCAGTGTCTTTTTTTTGTTTAATATTTTCTTATATTGCTAGTGCCATGAAGGAGTGGTCATTCCAGGCTCAGAGGGTTTCAGCAGATGTTCTTCAGTCAGGTGCCTGCAGTGTCTTTTCCTTACACTAACAAGCCAGGAAGCTAAATTGCTAAAAGAATATTTAGGCCATTAGGAAAAATAATAAACAAAACCAATAATAATACCATATTCATAGGGGTGAATCTATTGAAAAAAAATCCATGCAAGAAAAAAAGAGTCAAATTTAGCCAATTTCCATATAAAAAAAAAGCAGCCAAAACTGGATTAAAAGTTTATTTACTATTTTTGGATTTCTTTTTGTTTGTCTTTGACTCACAAAGCTAAAAGGAGAAATATCTACAGTGCATGCCAAGAAGAACTTATTAATTCTCATTAGCACAAATAAGAAGTGGTTATTTCAAGTGGTTGTAATGCAAATATCAATGCAAGACTTTTTTCCCCTCATCTCAGAGCCTGAGAAGCCATTGTCAGACTGTACTTTGATATCAGTAGATGTTCTGTATATTTGATAGATGTATGGCTGATTCACCAAGAAAGAGAAGTTGAGTGTTTTCAAGCATTGTTTTAATCTCATGAAACAGAGAACTTTGACTTCTATTTGCATTTAGCCCAAGCCAGATTTTCTCTAAACTCAGCTTCACATCTGAAATATAGAGGTAATTTTCTAATAATAGTTGAAATAAATGTAATGCTTCCAGTGAAGCTTTTATTTTTCAAATTAATTTTTAAAGATGGCAACCATGTGCAGTACAGTTTTTGCGCATGAATGTGACAGACAGGGCTTTTAAATTGGTATTAAGTATTATGATTTTAACCATCACATTTATAAAAAAGAAGTCCATTCTTTTTTGGAAAGAGCAGATGCATCCCCAAGTAATATATTAGCCAATAAATGTCTACATATAAAAATGATGATCCTCAAGCATTTCTCATTTCCAATGCTGTAATTCCTTTCAAATAACTTCAGGTAAAATGAATCAATCAAGGTCTCTAACAGAGGATGTATAGAAATCTGTCTTGGGGATAACATCTGCATTTATTTCTTATGCTCAGGTGCAACATTTTAACTCAGAGGTGATGGTATTATATGTGTACATCATTTGAAGTAGCTGGATATCAAAGCTTCCCTTTGATATTTCTCCTCAGAAATCTTCCCTTCCATCTACTTTATCACAGTAAAAGTTAGTCTGATTTAATCAGATATTTTTTGTCCCTCCTAGTTTAAATTTTTTTTATACTGCTAAAATAAATTATATTTCCATTCCTCCCAAAAAAGAGGAGTCCAAAGACTTTATATGCCTCTATTTTCACACTCTGCTTTTCCTTCTTTCCTATCCTTTTTGGCTTCTGTTTGTTTTGTTTGCCATTCTATTCCATTTACTTGGTCTTTCCCTTCACTGTACTGCAGATTTACTACCAGAACTGTTATTTTGTAAGAGTTCACAAAACCAATGGAATTCAGCAGCACAGTCTGGTGGTATTTTGCATCCCTCACCTCCTCCAAATATTTGGTACCTTATATCTTAATTTTTTTTCTGACAGTGTTGAACAAAAACGAAGATATGTTTAAATCAGTCAGGGCCTTTCCTCATCATTACTGAGAAGACAAACTAGATTTCTGATCCCCTGGGCAAACACAAGCAGGAGCAAAGGCCATAGAAGCCATTACTGATGAGAAACTATTTTTCTGAAGTCTCAAATGAAATCTTGATTTCTTCATACTCAAGTGAAGTTTTGCCATCAGTGACATCAGGATGTTACCTGCAACACTGGGCCTGGCTGTGTTTTCTAGTTTTGTGCCTGTTACTCTTCATAAGCTATCTCAAGGATTGCATCCTCTTTTTCATTTCTGCAATAACATTGCATCAATTTACTGAAGAGACAAGAGTATAATTTGCCATATCCATTCCTCAAAGTTAGCACAGGATAGTATATTGAATAGGCACAAAAGACATCTTAGAAATGGTCCTTGGGTAAATAACTGATTCCTATAATTTCTTAGAAATGTTAAATCCAGGTTTAAAGTTCATTTTCCCTCTGAATGACAAGGGAGGAATATTTTTTTTCAATTTATTGTCTGTTTGAAGGGGGAGCTAAATGGTTTGTATATGAATCCTTTAACATGCAAATATTAATAACACAATCAATATCAATACTTACCAGTTAGAGAGGGCTTTTTCATCCACAAATTTTAGGGTTATACAGTTAGAAGTAAAAGGCTTCTGAGAGTTCCAGTGGTCCTTGGAGAGAAGGAGAGAAGGATTTCTATGGCAGCTGGGATTTCAAGGAAGGAGGGAAGAGAAAGGCTGGGCTGCAGGACAGAAGAGAATGTTTGAAAATGGTAGAGAGAAGAAAATGAAGGCAGGACAGCTGGAGCACATACATGTGCAGAAGAGAACAGATAAAATAATTATAGAAGAATTGTAGAACTTGCCTCATGCAACAGGAAAATACGCAATATAGTCTTTTAAGAAAGATAATAGGAGATGGTAGCCTGTCTCATTTGGAGAGAAGAAGTTTGCTTTAATTAGGAGAAACTGTGATTTTGTTACAATCTTGGCAATACACACACTGTCCAGGTTCATCCCTGCCTGTGTGTGTTCCATGTGTGCTGCTGTCTTTTCCCTGATGACTCTGAGTGCAGTAATTTGCAGACTTCTGGTCCAGACACAGTCTTTTAATATGTGTTTGTACAGCTGCATCACAATGGGGGACTAATTTTGAATGGGGTCTCTGTTTTCTACCATAATTGAAATAATTAATCATAGTCATTCAATAATGTTGTCACTGTCACTTCTTGGACATAAAAATCCAATGAGATCATAAGGAAATGCACATTATGTTAATATTATCTATAATAGTAAAAAAATTACAATCCATAATCTGAATCAAAACTCACCATGTCTATGTAAGTCTAATTGTAATAGTATTTTGTTTCTTTGCTACAGCAGGCAGTTGTAGGAAAGGATTGGCTAAAATCTGGAGGATTCTCCTGCCCCAGGCTGTGTTTCTCTACAGGCAGGGCTCCTGTCCTTGATGTGAGTTTGGAGCCCACAGCACAGACAGGGCAGGCCCCTTTAAATCTCTGTTTTATCTGGTTGCCTAGACAACCCCTGTAAACATCAGTGGAAAAACGTGTGGTCTTCAGAAAGCTGGGGACCTTGAGGAAAAGCGAGGTCATCTGGGGACAGACAGATCCAGGGTAGCCTTACCTATAAGAGCAGACATAGATTTTTTAACAGACACTTTTTGCACGTTTCTTTTTGAATGCTTCATGCTCTTATAGTCTGTTTTAATTTGTGATATATGGAAAAAATAAACATGTTTTCTGGCAGCAGGTTTTTTCTTGTTTTCTATATTGCTTTCTATTGTGACATAAATATATATACTGTTTAAATATTTATATATAATGAAAGAAGAATATGAGAAAGAGTACTTTGACTATACAAAAGTGACAACTCCAGTTACCTTTTTTGATATGACTTTTTTTGATTACATGATTTTTAGTTTTTTTTTAAATTTTCATTTTAAAAAGCATTAAAAGTACTAGTGAAATTCAAATAATGGTGAAAAAGTTACCATTTGCAATATGTTTTGCCATTAAAAATGATAAATAGATGGGTTAAATATTTGTTAGCTGTTACATGAAAGTAATGAGCCAATCACTTCAGACTTATTTCAACAAACCTATATAGAGGAATTTCCACTTATATCTGGTAAGGTATGGATTGAACAGATACTGAAAACTTTTACACTGTTAAAGGACAAGCACGGAAAAAGCACAACTTTGCTGGGGTCGAAGTCTCATGCCCACTTTCCTCATATTTGACTATATTGCTTAAAATAATGATTTCATTAGTGTGTCCAACTGCAAAGGAGGAGCAGCTCACACCCCTCTTTCTACTTGGGCCTGCATGCCAGCAATAGCATAAGTATTTAGTAACCTTATATGAACTTGCCCCAGTTTGTGAATATTTACAAAAACTGGTTTTATTTCCTGGATGACCATAGTAACTTAGTTGACCAACAGATAAATGTTTCCATTTTCCTTCAACTTATGTTTCATTTCATCTTACAGCCTTCATACAGGAGAATAATTTTGTTCTCTATGGCTGCTCAACAAAAGGAAATGTTTCTCCAAACTGCTGAAATTATGGGACTTCCTTTCTTAAACAGAGGCAAACAGCAGATGGAAACTTGAAGATATTTGAAAAAGAACCTCCAACCTTTGATTACTAAACAGATACAGATGCTCCAAAATGATATTTTGTGTGGATAAAAATAGAAGTGTTCCTATCTTAAAGCTGTTTAAAATAATTTCTGAACCAAAGGAGCCTCATTAAGCTTGAGGATAATTGGCTGTAGTCCGTGGATAGCCTTGGTGTTATGGTATCTGCTTACATCAGTACTGAGTTTCACCCAGAGCATGTTTGGAGTGTTGAGGACTATAAAAAGTTATAGTACATGAAATGCTACATTATGTCAATATCATACTGCTACAGCTTGTAAATTCACATTGATCTCTATAATAAAAGATGTTTACAGCACTAATGAACTCAATCAAGTGCATATTTGCTGATACATAAAAAAGTAACAAGCCATCTTGCTGGGCATTTGATTTCCAGGAGATAATCCCAGACAGTGCTCTGAAGATTAGAGGGAGAGGAGATAAGAAGCTGTGACAGGCTGGCAATATCTGCCTGAAACACCATCCCCTGTTAGCAGGTGTTGGTGCTGCTGGGAAGCTGGTGCATGGATTTTCCTAACATGCTGAGCAGATGGCTTATAAAAGAAATGGGTGTTGCTTTTTGAAGCAAAAATTATGTATGGCCTGAGAAGTATTGTAGCAAGAATCCCAAGGGAATATAAAGTATAGGGATGGAAGTTGAGCTGAACCTTGCTTCTTCATTGGTAATGTTTTCTTGGCTGACACTAGGAAATGGATGGTTTATGACAGCACAGATTGTGTTTGGACATGGCTTTATATCAAGTGGGAAAATGCACCTGCTTAGAAAAGTGTAATCATCTACTCAGTAAATATATTCTGAGTGTTGTGCAAACAGAAGAAAACACATCTAGCTATTAGCTAATAAAAATAGATATTATTCCTATTACAAATCTATATGCTGATTCAGTTTCAAAGCTTTTGAACTTCAGGATTGTCCCATTTAATATTTTGAAGATCTTTTTGGCATTTGTGAGTACTAACAGTTGCACAAGGATGGAGCCTGTTTCAACAGCAGGGGTAAAATGCAACTTCAAGTTTTCTGATCCACACCAGACTGTGCATCCTATTGCAGCTCTGTAAGCTGGCAGGGGAGTGAGCAGGAGAAACAGGTCTGCATTTCCAAGTCTATTTTGTGACTTTGTTCAAATACCAGTGTTCTTTAGAGAATTCAATTATCCTCTTTGTAATTTGAGGACATTGTATTTTCTGACTTGGAGATGGATTATATACATCAGTACAGTGCTCATAATTATTCAGGGAATATGTTTGTAGTAACAGGGAGGGTGAAATAGGAACTGTGTTCAAGTAAATAATAATTCTTTCTCTTGAAGGTAGAACTGATCTGATTGCCCTCACCATTTTTCAACTGTAACAATTAAAATTCACGAAGGAATCCAGAACTTCTGTATGGGAAAATTGGAAAAACCTAAGAAAATTCTTAGAAATATGTAGATTTCTGAGAAAACACTTTCTTCTTGATCTGTTTTTCTGTCTTTCCTGTTTGTTCATTTATGAAATTCATAAGATAATCTTCATGCTATGTAAAAGGTATTTTTTCATTACTACTTCTATTTACAATAATTATCTAGGCACATCTGTTCTCAAGTACATCAATATACAATATTTAAACTAGCTCAATATTAAAAATATAACTCTATCTAATGCTCCTAATTAAGCATCTGTGTATTTAATACCCGGCTTTGGTTCCTTACTACATTTTGGAAGCTCTAATGCTTCAACATGGAGGCAGCGAGTACCATTTACTCTCAGAGTGATTCAGAACGCAGATCGCATTAAAAAGAGTAAATCTGATCTGCTTCTGGGAAACAACAACTAAAAGCACAATCAGGAAGAGATTAATGCCTCCTGCCTCCCAGGAATGGAGAGGAGAAAAGTGTTTCTGCTGTGAGACTCTGGCCTTTGCTGGGAAGATGTGTTCCCAGCTGAGAACAGCACCATTGGTACCAGCTCTCTGAAAAGAGGAAGCACTAGCTGCACCTGGAAGGGGAGGCTTATCCTAGAATCCTCCCAGGAGCCAAGCAGGCCACAATTCTATCCCAAACTTCAGGTTTGCCTGTGAATCATAAAGCAACAGCTGGGTATGCTCTCATCACAAAGTCCCTTGTGGTTTGCTGCTGTTGCCACGCTCCAATGTCCTTTGCTCAGCAGAGGTGTGCACATGGCTTGGGGTGGAGAGGCCTGGCTGGGGCTGTGCAATGTGGACACGGCTAAAACAAAGCAGGCAGCCCGAGCTCTGACCCAGAGATAACGTGCAGTGCATGGCAGCCTTGGAAATGGCTTCATCTGCAGTCAGTGGCAGCATTCCAAATGAGTAACGGAAAGAGAATCAAACCTTTCCTCAGGAGCATCCTGGAACACAGCTTTGGCACAGCTTGACAGTGATGACTGTTTACATGGGGACAAGCTTAGGTCCCGCTGCTTTAGCATGGGTTTTCTATCACTACAATTCAGACCTGTTCCTACAAACACACAAACAAGCATGGGAGCTTCTATCAGATTACATGCTTGTGGCTAGAAATTATATCTCTGTATCTCTGGTTTGGTTTTTTTTTTTTTTTTGACAAGCCCAACAAAGGTTTCACTGGCAAATAAATCATAATTTCAGCATATCAGTAGAAATCACAACACAGTTTGTCATTCAACCCAATGAAAAATACCATGTCTGTAGAAAGCAAATTCTTCAACTTTACAAGCTACAGATTGATACCACACATGAGAAAACAGTCTGATATCTCTCTAGGATTTCCTAAAGGATTTTTAATGTGTTTTTCTGTCCTTAGCAATAATTTTAGCATTTGCAAGAAGCCCACAGTCTGTTCCTATTAAAGTATCAGCTTACCTCAAAAGATGTTAAAAGAGAGTTAAAAAAAAAAAACAAAAACTTAATGCTGATCAAGTTGCAATTAAATTTTCATTATCATTTAACATTTCCAACTTTTTTTCAGTTCTTTCTGACCAAGAAATAGAAAACCTGAAGCTAAGCCTACTGAACAGATTTATTTCTAACTGCCTTGAAGATGTAGTTGTAGACATTCTCAAGGAAGACCTTATTTTAGGCAAGAGATTGTGCAGAAAAGACTAGACTGGAATTGATTTAAAAGGTATGTAGTAGTGAGGAATGTGTGATGTAAGAATGTAATAGGATGAACGACAAAAGATCATTAATTAATAAACCATAAGTTGATAAGAGATTACCGCTAGTTCCATGACAAACATAATGCAGACAAAATAAAATGCCATGGTGACTTCCACTGCTTATGAATTGGGCTCCTAACCTTGATAAATACAGAGGACACTGAGATACTTGACTAAATCTACTGAGATACTTGACTAAATTTCAGTTGAGGTTTTATGATTTATTCTGTAAGTATTCTTTTTTTGTCAAACTTTTTATTCTTCTGAAAAATTCCTAAAAATTTTTGTTTGGCAAGCGTTTCTCTATTTTTTTCAATCTTTATTGCATTTATCTGATTAGGTCACGTGCCTTTATGCGAGGATGCAGTTCAGGAAAAGCCCGAAATGGCTCTTTCAGAGTGGCAAACAGCGATGGTGCGCACGGGAGCAAAACATTTGGCAACGGTTCCAAAGGGGAAGAGGAAAAAAAACCTGTTCGGAGCCGCGGGCAGGGGGCACGGCTTTGTGGATCGGGCAGGTGCCGGGCCGTGTCCGGGGAACCGCCGGCGGCTCCGGGTCCGCGGGCGCCTCCACCCACCCCGGCCCCACGCGCCCCGAGGGTGGGGGGGAGGCTCCGCTCCCCGCGCCTCACGGCCCCTGGGGCGCGCTCGGGGCACCCACGGGGCTCAGCGGCCGGGGAGCGCTCCGCAGGATTCCTAAGGCGCTTCCCGGCAGCCGGAGGCCGGCCCGCGGCTCGGCGGGGCCGAAGGGAGACGGCCGCGGCCAGCCTTGAGGGCGGCGCGGCCCGCCTCGCTCCTCCCGGCGGGCGCTGGCCGCCCCGGGCGCTGCCCGCGTGGCCGCCGAGTCCGCTCGCGTCCTCGGGCAGCGAGACAGCGCGGGCCGCTCCCACCGCGAGCAGGGGGGGCACCGGCGGACCGGCAGCACCGCCCGCGCCTGCCGCGCCGCTCGCGCCGCTCCGCGTCCGCCGCCCGACGCCCCTCGGGGGCGAACCTCGCACGTACCTGTGTGGGAGGGCCCGCGCTCCCCGCCCCGCCCGGCCGCCGGCGGTGCCCCCTCGCAGGGAATGGTTTGTCCCGGCTCGCCGCCGTAACCTCCCGCTCCTCCTCCCGCCCGTGCCCGGCGCGGATGCTGCCGCCCGGGCTCGCCCCGCCCGGCATCGCCCCGCCCGGCATCGCGCCGCCCGTGAGGCGCAGCACGCGCCGCCCGCGAGCACCGGAGCGCTGCAGGACCGCCCGCCCGCGCCCCGGCAGGTGAGGGCAGGGTGAGGGGCCGGCGGGGCGCGACACCTCCTCCTCCTCCTCCTCCTGCGGCGGCGGGGCACAGGCTGCCACCCCCGCGCTCGGAGAGGCGGCGGAGCGGCGGCCCGCCGTGATTCAGCATCGCCGGCGGGGAGGGGAAGCCGTGTCCGGCCGGGGGGTGCGGGGGTGCCGGGCGACCGGCGGCTGCCGGAGCGGGACCTGCCGCCGGCTCGGGGCGATGCTGCGGGGCGGGAGCGCGGGGAAGTGCCGGCAGCCCCGCCGCTCCCCCGGTGCCCCGGAGCAGACGGGGCAGCGCTGTCCGCCCGGGGCCGCGGGCAGGTGCGGCGGGAGCGCGGGCAGCGGCCCCTGGGGAAGTTTCCCCAATGCAGCGGGCAGCCCTCGCGCAGGGAGGGAGGAGAGGATGACTGCGCGTGTTGTCGCAGTGTGAGGAATAGGGAAGCAGGAGGCATTCCAGGATTAAAGGTATTAATTTTCTCTTCTCGCCCCCCTCCCCCCCAATTTTTGCACGCCAAGCCCATCGTCTGTGCGGGTCGTATCGCATGTACGGCCAGGTCTCTTCAGAAGCAGTTAAGGTTAAAATGGGATCGTCTTTTGGCAGTGGTACCCAGTGGAGTCTGAAATGTAGAACAAGTTAAATCTCTGGAGATACAAGTCAAATATCTTCCTGTGCTTTCTGTGCTTAGCTGGAAGCCCGTAATCTGTGGGATCTGTTTGAATTTCTGCTGCTGAAAGCACACATAATTGTAAGCAAAACGGAAAAGCAATTGATGCTGGAATTTGAATGTACTGCTGAATTCTGTGAAACTGACTTAAGGTCTCAGTATTGATCGCTTTGGTGCCTTTCTTATGTATTTGCAGCTTGAGTACCAAAATTAGACTTTATTCCTTCTTAAGCTCTCTCTAAACCAACAAGACACACACACCCCACCCACCCCTAGTTCAGTATACTTTTCTGTCTAAATCTCTCATTAATTAACCAGAGTGTTAGTACCTATCTAAATACTATTCAGAGAAATCCTGCTGGTTCTTTTCACACAGGAATGATTAGAAGTATTTTGCTCTGTGAGCATTGTTTATCCCCCAAATACTGCAGAGTATCTCAAAATATACAGTGACTTGGCATCTGCAGAAGCTTTTACCCCTGTTTTAAGTGCTGCAATGGGGGTTTTTGTAGAAATAAGACATGTTATTGTTTGAACTAATGATAGTTCAAACAAACAAACAAAAGTAGAGAAGCAGGTATTTATTATGCCGTGGTTTCCTGTGTGGTGAGTATATGTAATGTCTGTGATGACATATGGAGCTATTACTTCTGAAGCAAGATTGTCTGGAGAAAAATGTTACAAAGCTTCAGAAAACTACATGAGGTATTTATTACAGAATATGTGACTTCTTTTATAATGACAAAATGTGTTTTTACCTGCAGGTATTCACCATATTATGCAAGAAAGTATAGAAAAATAGTCGTCAGGTTTATTTATTTATTTATTTATTTATTTTTCTTTAGAAAAATGCCCCTATTCTAGATTTCTGATGGTTTGGATACATTCCACATATTTCCAAAGGGATCTACCCAGCACTTTTGGAGTGTTAGAAGAGGCCAGGAGATCAAGCCTGTCAGCAGTTATTAGGTAATTATTCCAGTAATCTAGCAGTCATTTTAGTAATATGAAGCTTAGGTTTGCAATCAAAGTAAAATTTGTTCCCATGTTCTTCCAAAGCTGATAGTGGTAAATTGGCATCATAGATTTAGTTGTGGACAGTTCTGAAAAACTGGGAGATTAAGTGACCAAGAAGCAGTCAGACACCAAGCCATCTTGCAGATTTTTGTATAGTTAGGACTTTTCTCTAAGAGGTTTCTAATGCTGTATGTTGGTTATGAGGGCCATAAATAGAATTTGAAGGTGAAATGTGGCACACTGATGCTGACTGCTGAATGTGCTCACTCTGAGTTGTCAACATCAAGAATGACTGAAGTATGATTTGATTTTGAATCTCCATTCATGGATATTTATTATACATTTTAAAAGTCTCTGTAGGATACATATGGCAAATTTCTTGTACATCCACATTTTCTAAGGTTCTGTGCTTTTTTCCCCCCATTTTCTTCCTTGCCTATATTTTAATGTTGTGTTAAGGAGTATTTTTGCATTTACTAGCTACTTGCAGATGTCTCATACTAATTGAGAACACATTAATCTAAGTCTGTAAATCCTTATATAACAAGAAATTGAAATGAAACCTTAATGTCTGAAATAGAGAAATGGATAACATCTTCCAAGCTACCCTGAATCTACTTTTGCAAAGCATCTGTCTTAAAAAATTCACATGGCAGCATGTTGCAAGATAATTTTTTTATATGAGTTACTAATGTTTTTAAATTTTGTGCTACGATTTATCAGTGTGAAGATATCTTGTAGAAACTGACAATGCTAATTTCTCCCTTCTATATGCTTCCACACATCTTCAGAAAAATTCCAAGTGTTATTACTGCCTTGAAGTGCTGTGGCTTTTGGGGCAATCCTAAACCATGATGACACAGAATTTTTTTGATAGGCCTTGTATCAGTCCCTGACAAAAAAGATGAATGCTTGCCAGTCTTTTTGATGAGGTATTTCCATCACCATAGTTGACACAGTGACTCTACAATGATCTGAGTGGGAAAGGAATAGTTTGGATTTGCTTCAAAGAGGGAGTTCATTTTATTTGGAAAGGTGCATACAAACTGTCAAAGCTAGAATCTCACTGTAAGTACCACAGCATTCATACTGGAGAATTTTAGCTGGATTTTGTTTTTCCCTTGTGAACTTCAGAACACTTAGCACTCGATTAATTTTTATTTTCTACATACCTAGAAGTTAATTGGGGCCATTTGAATCCTACTGATGGAAGTCAAATGGCCCTTATTAAGCACGGGGAGGTCTTTAGAGCTCCATTAATGCTTACCTAAAGTCCTGCCAGAATGATACTTTGCAACTACTCCTTTTGCAAACATTATGAGCTTCCTGGAAAGTTTACCAGAACCAGTGAACCTTTTAAACATTAATATTTAAAATACTTATGTATTTTTAAATTTAGAATGGAGTTTGTTGATGTCTACTACACTGATGGGTAAAAGAATAATTTGATATTGTATGGATATGTGAGAAAAAAGGTGACACTCTGAAGGAGTCAGCCTTGGAACCTGGTGGGCATTAGAGCAAATGTTCCTTTTCCAGGGTTGCAACCCCTTGGAGTCAGAATCTTTGACACCAGGAGATTCCATAGTGCCCCAGTCTACTGAATCCTCTTGTTCATGGCAGTGAAGGCAAGAACCTACAGGTTCTGTAGAGGTTAAGTAATAGCTTTTTGCTAGGAGCATTTCCCAGTTTCCCTCCCTGCCTTCTCACTGAAGTGTTCATACAACTGTACAATATGGTTTCATAATTCTACCTCATTAGTTTATACTCATTTACCAACATTGAATTCCATATGCCCAAAAACAACCTCTAATGTATTAGAATAAATTTTTGGCTTTGTGTTTTGAAAGGTTAAGTAAAGCAGACATAATGGGTCTTGCTTTCAATATCAGTTTTAATCAGAATACAGGATCTCCAAAATTAAGACCACTATATGCAATTGTACTATTTATTTTCCCAGTGTTAAAGTTCAGAAAATTGAAAATGTTAAAATACAGATCCATATTGTTTCAAAGGCAGTATTAATAAGTATGATCACATGGGGTTTTTATGAACATTCATTTGTGGGGACAGAGGAACAGTACTGCTTTACAGAGAGCCCAAATTAACAATAATGGAAGAAAGACAAAAGCAAACATTCTGATTTAGGGATCACTTTTTACTTTCTGGAGTGGAGTGAGTGTCATGCCACTTCCCATTTATGCTTGTATTTGGTTTTGGAAGGATTCCAGATTGAAGTTTAATATGCACCACTGTCCAAATGCACCTTAGATGGCTACATTACTGTTAATTGATAGAAAAACTGACTGCCTAAAAGGATGGAAGTGCTTTACACTGCAGTTCAGGAGCCTTTATGGCCAGTAGTAGTAACAGAGTACTAACAGTCACTCTTCAGAATAAAGAAATGAAGGCTAAATCCACTTTTCATGTATAATAAATGCTGCAGAACGAGTTGAGTAGGGTGTGGGTTTCACAGTTAGACACAGCAATGTGTTGACATGTTTATTTTCATCCTTGCTTAGTAGCAAAACGCTAAATATATTCTTCTTTGGTTACATTAAAGTATGTTTCCTTTCAACTTTGTCCTTGGGTTGACATGTGTTTGTTTTATTTTTAGCACTTGAAAACCACCACAGTTATATCCCTATAGGGTGCAGTGGAAGCACTGGAATATAGCATGAGAAAATGAAATCAGATGCTTAATACTGAATTGTTGCTGGTGAAGGGGCAAAGATATTGATACTGGTTATGACCACAAAAAACAAGTGGACTGACAGGACAGAATATTGATTTGTTGGGGACATCATGCTTATGTGCTTGCTCAGCGTGAACTTCTCTTGAAAAATATAGAATAGAGCTCTGTGATAGAAGACTGTGCTTTCTTTGCTTTTGTGGGTGGTTGTCAAGTGTTTAGTGTTCATTGAACATTAAATTTCTGTGAATTTGTAATAGTGTTTTATCCTTCCAAGCTTATCTTGGTTTTGTGGAAGGTGGGAGAAACATGCAAAAACACTTCATGTGAATTATTGGCAAAAGAAATCTCAAAGGTGTGCAATTTACTCACCCAGAAAAAACTACCCTTTGAATTACATTTTATTTCATGG